ACCAGGCGCCCCAAAATATTTTTGGTTTAAATAAAATGTTATTTCAGTTGCAATTGAAATGAGCAGAGAGAGAAGACATAATGATTAAGAAAATTCTTCTGTGGGGGCACCTGGGTGGCTCAGTCAGTTGAGCTTCTGACTTCAGCTCAGATCATGATCTCACATTTCATGAGTTCAAACCTGCGTGGAGCCCCACATCGGGCTCCGTGCTGACAGTGCAGAGCCCGCTGGGGATTCTCTCTCTGCCCCTCCCCACTCACGTGTGTGTGCGCTCACTCTCTCTCTCTCTCTCTCTCTTGTCTCTCTTAAAATAAATAAAATTATTTAAAAAAAGAAAGAAAATTGTTCTGTGTAGCTCCTCCTCCCTATGATTTTAAGGAGAGCACTTCTGTAACATATAGCCCGATGCTAGCTGCACACCGTGAGCCCCTGCACGGCTGTCTGCTGTCACACCGACTTGAAACAACCTTCCCACTGTTGGGTTCTAGTGAATTCTTTTTTCAAGGCTCAGTGGAAACTCAACTCCACCAGGTAGAGTGAACTTCTTCTGCAGGACCCTATGCCCACTGCCTGAGTCTTATTTATTTATTGTTACCGTATTTACTGCTGTAGCACTTTATTTGTTCTGTTTTGATAGTTTTGTAGAGGGAGGGAATAACACGATAGCTAAGCACTCCGGCTCCAGGTTCAAATCCAGACTCTGCTCGTCACTGGCTGTGTCACCTTGGGCAAGTTTTGTCTGCTGCAAAAGGGAGCAAACAAAAGCATCGCCTCAAAGGATTGTTATGAGCTTTAATTGTGTTAGTCTTCAGCAGGTGCTTAGAGCTGGGCCTGGCACAGAGGCAGCACTCTTGAAGTGTGACCTCCCACTGCTACTGTCCTCGTGTCATTGTCCACACACAGGTCCGTCTCTGAAATCCCCTTTGCTGACAAAGGATGTCAAGCATGGCTCGGTTGTGTTTGGTGAAAGCAGGCGTACACGAACGAGGCACACTCATATTGTCACAGTAGAGATCTCTGTGGTGGGGCTGGGTGGCTCAGTGGGTTAAGTGTCCAACTTCAGCTCAGGTCATGATCTCATGGTTTGGGAGTTCGAGCCCCGCATCAGGCTCCGTGCCAACAACTCAGAGCCTGGAGCCTCCTTCAGATTCTGTGTCTCCCTCCCCCTCTGCCTCTCCCCCACTCATGCTCTGTCTCTCTCAAAAATAAATAAACATAAAAAAAAATTTTTTTTTAAATTTAAAAACGTTTATTTATTTTTGGGACAGAGAGAGACGAGCATGAACGGGGGAGGGGCAGAGAGAGGGAGACACAGAATCGGAAACAGGCTCCAGGCTCTGAGCCATCAGCCCAGAGCCTGACGCGGGGCTCAAACTCATGGACCGCGAGATCGTGACCTGGCTGAAGTCGGACGCTTAACCGACTGCGCCACCCAGGCGCCCCACCCCCCCCAAAAAATTGTTTTTTAAAAAGGTCTCCGAGTAAGTGTGTGTGTTTGGAGATGTGGGTCACTCACCACTGCCCTGGCATGTTCAAGCTCCACACACCAAGTCCAGCCCCAACATGTGCACATTATACCAGGCAGCCTCTGCCACATAAAGTTGACAATAGCTAACCTGTAGCCCAGAACAGATGCCATGATGGTAACGCATTGGTGTTCGGAGCCCAACATGGAAAGTAGGGTTTCCTTTATAGACCCTGAGACACAGACATTGCCATTTGTCTCCTCATTATCTATTCTCCCTCTGTCTTAGTTAATTTTTTGTAAGTTTATTTTATTTTGAGAGAGAGAGAGAGAGACAGAGCATTAGCGGGGGGCCCCCCCCCCCGAGAGAGAGAGAGAGAGAGAAAGAGAATCCCAATCACAGAGCCACTCAGGTGCCCCAAGAGTACATTTTTAAAAAGAGGTGTAAGATTTGTATACTGAAAACTATAAAACATCATTAAAGAAATTAAGGAAGACTTCAATAAATGTAAAGACATCCCATGTTCATGGATTGAAAGATTTCGTATTGTTGAGATGGCAGTCCTCCCAAGTTGATTTCTAGATTCAAAGTGTTCTCTATCAAAATCTTAGTTTTTTTCCTCCAGAAATTGAAAAAGCTGATCCTAAGATTCATATAGAAATATAAGGAATCCAGAATAGCTAAAAACAATCTTGAAAAAGGAGCATAAAGTTGGAGGACTCACTACTTCCTGATTTCAAAATCACTACAAAGTTACAGTAAAAAATAGAGTGCAGTACCAGCTTGAGGATAGACCTAGAGATCAATGGAATAGAACCAAGAGCCCAGATGTAAATTCTCACTTTTATGATTGGTTGATTTTTCAGCACGGGTGCTAAAACCATTCAATGGGGGGAAAATGGTCTTTTCAACAAATACGCTTTTACAAGAGATCCCAGAGAGCTCCTTCCCCACTTCCATTATGTGAGATTAACAATGAGAAGCTGGCCCTTAATGAGGAAGCAGGCTCTCACCAGACACTGACTCTGCCAGTGCCTTGATCTTAGACTTCCCAGCCCCCAGAACTGTGAAAAATAAATTTCTGTTGTTTATGTGCTACCTAGTCTATGGCATTTTTTTATAGTAGCCTGAATGAAATAAGACAATCTTTTTTTTTTAATTTTTTTTAACATTTATTTATTTTTGAGAGACAGAGAGAGACAGAGCATGAGCAGGGAGGGGCAGAGAGAGAGAAGGAGACAGAATCTGAAGCAGGCTCCAGGCTCCAAGCTGTCAGCACAGAGCCTGATGTGGGGCTCAAACCCACAAACTGTGAGATCATGACCTGAGCCGAAGTTGGATTCTCAACCGACTGAGCCACCCAGGCGCCCCAAGACAATCTCTATAATAGCCAAAAAAACCAGAAACAACCCAAATGTCCATTAACTCATCAATAGACTTTTTTAACGTGGTATATTCACACAATGGAATATTATTCAGCAATGAAAGGAAATAAAATACCGAAACATGCTACAACAGGGATCGACCTTGAAAATACTGTATTAACTGAGAGAAGCCAGGTACTAAGGGGCTTGAAATGTAGTGTGGCTGCTAGTAAGTATGAGGGGTTTTTTTTTTGAGGGAATGACAATGTTGAAAATGGTGATGATAGGGGCACCTGCGTGGCTCAGTCAGTTAAGCGTCTGACTTCAACTCAGGTCATGATCTCACGGTTCATGAGTTCGAACCCCGCATCAGGCTCTGTGCTGGCAGCTCAGAGCCTGGAGCCTGCTTTGGATTCTGTGTCTCCCTCTCTCTCTGTCCCTTCCCCATTTGAGCTCTGTCTCTCTCTCTGTCTCTCTCTCTCCCTCTCTCTCAAAAATGAAAAGAAAAGAAAATTGTGATGATAGTTGCACAACTGTGGAAATATACTAAAAACCATTGAATTGTACAGTTTAAATGGGTGAATTGTGTCTCAATAAGCTGTTGTAAAAAGTAAGTTATACTATATAACTTGTTGGACTATTCTATGGCCATTTATTTATAAACATTTCAACCATCAAGAATATGTTCAGGGGCTCCTGGTGGGTTCAGTCAGTTGAGCATGCGACTCTTGATCTTGGGGCTGTGAGTTCAAGCCCCATGTTGGTTGTAGAGATTACTTAAAAATAAAATCTTAAAAAAATATGTTTATAGTATTACAATCATTTGAAATAATAAGGATATGAAATTATATCTTATCGACTAAGTCAATCTATTTGTGTAGGAGACACTGTTGCCGCACATCCTCCTTTCCCTCTTCTTTCAACCTAAAAGACCATGTGACTCAGGGGAAACTGACCCAGCTCTGGGGGTGATTGCTCTAAGTCAATGGTGGTAATCCCACCATGTAACCAAGTCTACACTGGTCACTTAGCCTGTAGCATTCCCAGTGATAGCATCTGGGTCAGGAGTGGGTGTGTGCAAATCAGACTGAAAAGGAGACTTTCAGCCCCTCCATCATCTTCCTGCCTGAAAGACCCTGGAGATGAAGTCAGTGTTTGGAAGGGAGGAAAATCACCTGGGTCCTTGAGAATGTCATTGTTCTCCACCAGCCCTGACATCTGACTGTCTCTAGATTTCCTGTTCCCTGAGGCCGTTAATAGCTTTCCTTCCATTTTAGCTTTTTTTTTGAGTCAGGGTGGTTTTTGTTATCTGACAAAAACATCCCAGCACAGAAGCACTCCCCGCACAGAAGAAAGAGTGGAAGGAAATGAATAAAAATGTAAGTTGCAAGTATCTTTCAGTGGTGGGGTTAGGGGTGTTTGAGATTTCTCCTGTTTTTCTGTGTTTTCAAGTTTTTCTGAAATTGGCATGTATTACACTTTCAATCAAAGTAAGGTTTAAACAAAACGGCAGACGCCTGGGTGGCTCAGTCAGGTAAGTCATGGTTCGTGAGATCAAGCCCCACATCTGGTTCTGCCCTGACAGTGTGGAGCCTGCTTGGGATTCCCTCCCTCCCTCTCTATCTGGCCCTCCCCAGCTCATGTTCTCTCTCTCTCTCTCTCTCTCAGAGTAAATACATAAACTTAAAAAATAATAATAATACGGGACGCCTGGGTGGCGCAGTTGGTTAAGCGTCCGACTTCAGCCAGGTCACGATCTCGCGGTCCGTGAGTTCGAGCCCCGCGTCGGGCTCTGGGCTGATGGCTCAGAGCCTGGAGCCTGCTTCCGATTCTGTGTCTCCCTCTCTCTCTGCCCCTCCCCCGTTCATGCTCTGTCTCTTTCTGTCCCAAAAATAAATAAACGTTGAAAAAAATAATAATAATAATAGGAAAAAGGAAAAGGCAATATAAAAGAATATGTGCCCCCGTATATTTAGCCAGCCACTGAGGGAACATGGCCGCCAGCATCCCCACCCCGAAGGTTCACACTCTTGTGTAGTCCTCCCCTGAATTATACAAGGGCTGTTGCGTGTAATCAGTAGCATAAGGCTGAAGTGATGACATTAGGTCATGAAAAAGACGGTGGTTCTGTCTCGGGTGCTCACTTTCTCTCTTAAATCATTCTTTCCAGGGGGAATCATGCTGCTATATGTGAGCAGCCCCGTGGAGAGGCCCAGATGCTGGGAAAGTGAAGCCATTGGCCAACAGCCACGTGAGCGAGCTTGGGAACAGATTCTCCTGCCCCGATTCCAGGAGGTGACTGCTACCCAACCATGGCTGGAGTGCAAGCTCCTGGGACGCTCACAGCCAGAAGCACTCCTCCAGCTGCTCCTGGATTCCTGACCCTCAGAACCAATACTAGACAGTAAGTGTGTTTTTCCTTAATTTATTAAAAAAAAAAATCTTTTAAAAACAAACAAGCAAAAAAATAACTCTACACCTAGCAGGGGGTGGAACTCACGACCCCGAGGTCAAGAACTGTATATCGTACCAACTGAGCCAGCCAGGTGCCCCCGCTCCAGTAAGGTTGCTAAGCTATTAAGTTTCAGGGCTCTTGTTTCACAGCAAAATGGAGAGCAAGAGACACGCCAACTCTTCCACTCAGTAAGCCACTTAGGGGAAATCTTAACTTCAGACACAGAAGCCACGAAGGATGTATCTAGAGGATGTTTATTGCCACTGCCTTTGCCTCAGAAAAATATTGGGCATAATTAGTAATGAGGGTGATACCATTCTGTGGGACCGTTGCACAGTTTTTGACAGGTCCATAGTGTCAATCTGGAAAGATCCACGGCTTGTCAAGCGGGGAGCAAAACGGTTGTAGAATCACATGTATGGTATCTGTGGGAGCCATTGCTGGATGTAACTCCTCAACATCTCTCCTCCACTTCCTCCTTATTCACAGAGCATGTTTCCAGCTCCCAAACTAAAATCTCGGGGCATCTGGTGGCTCAGTTGACTGAGCGTCAGACTTTGGCTCAGGTCACAATCTCATGGTTCATGAATTCAAGCCCCACATCGGGCTCGCTGCTGTCAGCGCTTCAGATCCTCTGTCCCTCTCTCTCTAACGACCCCCCACTGCTTGCAGTCTCTCAAAAAACAAAACCAAAAACACCAAAACACTAAAATCTCGGTTTCTCAGCTTCCCTCGCAGCAGCCAGGCACAACCACGTGACATGTTCCTGGCTAATGAGCTGTAAGAAATCCACAGGAAAGTTACTGGTTTTCTAGTAGCATGTACTACACATATAACCAGAGTCAGCCGGTACGTTCCTGTCCCCTTGTGCCTGCCTTGTTCCTCCTGCGTGGAACAGACTTGGTGCCCGGAGGTCAGGGCCGTCTTGTGACTGTGGGGACCCAAGTCACACTCTCAGGATGGGGAAGCATAAAGGCATGGAGCATGCGGCTTCACGGCCATGGCACCGTGCACTATGTGACCCCAAGCTTGTTGTCACCTGAGAAAGAGGCAACATATTTCTCAGTGAAGCCACTGTTTAGGTTTTGAATGTAATCCCGGTTACCGTTTTCATCTAAAAGAAAAAAGGGAGAAAAGTCATGTGTATGTGTATGTGTGTGATTACTTACATGAGCATGATGATGTAGGAGGACACATAGCTCACTGTTAACATTGACCGTTAGGGGCACCTGGGTGGCTCAGTTGATTGAGTGACCAGCTTCGGCTCGGGTCGTGATCTCTCGATTCGGGAGTTTGAGCCCCACATCGAGCTGCTGTCAGTGTGGAGCCTGCTTTGGATCCTCTGTCTCCCTCTCTCTCTTCCCCTCCCTTGCTCGTGCACTCTCTCTCAAAAATAAATAAAAAATAAAAATAAACTAAAAACAAACAAACAAACAAACATTGACAGTTCACTGCAAGGGGTAAGACTGGAGGCAGAGGACAGCTGATGAAGTTTTTATTTTTACTCTGTTTACATCATTATACCAAACATTTGTTAATTTTGTGACACACTATAATAATGTCCACAAAGCTTATAAAAAGAGAGGAAGAGTCGATGTGCTGGCTGGCTCAGTCAGAAGAGCATGTGACTCTTGATCTCAGGGTTGTGAGTTCAAGCCCCACATTGGGTGTAGAGATTACTTAAATAAATACTTTTATTATTTTTTTTTAACTTTTTTTTTTAACGTTTATTTATTTTTGAGACAGAGGGAGACAGAGCATGAATGGGGGAGGGTCAGAGAGGGAGACACAGAATCTGAAACAGGCTCCAGGCTCTGAGCTGTCAGCCCAGAGCCCGACGCGGGGCTCGAACTCACGGACCGCGAGATCATGACCTGAGCTGAAGTCGGCCGCTTAACCGACTGAGCCACCCAGGCACCCCAAATAAATACTTTTAAAAAAAAGGAAGAGTCACATATACTAAAATACATGTTATACACACACACACACACACACACACACACACACATATATAATACATACGTATGTAATATACACACATATATAATATATATAATACATAATTATAGAGTATACCCACACATATATATAATATTTACACACGCATATAATATATTTATATACAATACATAATTGTATGTATGAGAGAGAAAGAGAAAGTGTACAATAGCATTCTGGAATTACTGGTTATCACTTGACCAGCTCAAGCTCAAGGCAAAGCCGGTTCTCAGTGACTGGGCCGGTGCCTCCCATAATGCAGGGAGCTAGGAGTGGACAGTGTGAGCAAATGGAATATTTGGTATAGTTCTGCAGTTTGAGCCAACACTACAAGCTTCAGATTTGTTGCACAGGCCTTGGTGTGGAGGGCCAGATACTCAGGAGATCATCGGGACCCCACCAGGAGGCCCGGAGGCACAGGTGCAGCCCGGCAGAGAAGGGAAACAGACAGGGAAGCTGGGGTCTGGGGTCCGGGGCCAAGGGATGCAAGGCAGGGCCCTGGCCTGTGACCTAGCACGGCTCTGGCACAGGGCGCTGGTCCCGGGCTCCCCAGAGATGGGTCCGTCTTTTCAGGAACAGGCCTCAGTCACCTTCCCCACTCCGAGGACCTGGGCTTGTAGCTGGATCCCACCGTACAGGCACCTGAGCAGGGCTGAGGCACATAGGAACCAGGCGTCTAGACCAAATCACAGTGTCGTGCAGCTGACTGTGGACGTGACATATATCTTCTTAGTCAGTGGCTGTTTGCTTCCTGGAGCCTTCATGGCTCCTATTCTGTGCTGGGCCCCCGTGCAGCCAAGGGGTTGGAGGTGGGGGCGACAGGGCTGCTGTCGTGGACCCGCCTCCCTCCCCCGTCCCTCCCACCGCACTGATTTCCTCTCTTGTGGCCCCAGGGGTTTCCTGTTCTCTCCCCTGTCTGAACAGCTTCCCCATTTCTTTTGCAACATCTTGCAGCAGGTGTCTGGCTTGCTCCTGCTCTCGGAAGCTCAGACAGGCTGGGACCTAGCAGAGAGCCTCCGGGTTTGGTCCAAGGTGTGCCATGGGAGGAACAGCGGCTCAGCCGGGCGGCCCGCCACGTGCAGGGGGAGCCCATGGAGGGGAAGGCGCCATTTTCCCGAACTGGGTTATGACCCAGATATCACACGGAACAGATTTACACTAAAGAATTCTTTGTCGCTTATCTAAAATTTCCATTTAACTGAACATCCTGTATTTTTATTTGCTAAATCTGGCAACCTGATCCTAAGACGACTCAGCTTTCAAAGTTCTCTAATCAGATGTTCCAGAAAGGGAAGAGAGGGAGGAGAGGAGACGGCAGGAAAGAAAAAACTCCCCATGGAGAGAGAGAGCCGGTGTGTGACTCCACAGCTGTTCCTTCCCTCCCACCCCCGAGGGCCAGAGACTGAGGCCCCAGGGGAGAGGGCAGGGCTGGGAGAGGTACCCCGTGCCAATCCCTGGCTCAGCCACCAACTTCCTGTGGGTCACCCTGGGCAGTGGCTGGGCCTCCCTGGGCTCCCTCGCTGGCATCTGTGGCCTCCAGCACTCACTCACTCATCACATTTGTCCCAAGCACCCACACATACCCCTGCTGTGTGCCAGACCAAGTCTCAGAGAGGAGCCCTTAAGCAGCTGGCTGGCTGATGGCATGCGGAGGATATAGACATGAAAACGGATCCCCAGGATCCAGGAATATGGAATTTCCACTTCCCTCCTTCCAAGGGAGAGCTACTCAGTCCCTGCCGGGCCCTGCACCTGCCCTCTTCCTCTTCCTGGTACCCAATGGCTGCTCGGGGATCTGGGAGGGCTCCCTCCCAGGGGCATTGGCTGTCGTGGTGCTGCCGTCCTCAACTGAAAGCCCTCCACGCGGCCATGCCTTGTCCGGTGACCCCAGAATGGTGGCTGTGAGCTTCAAGAGCAGTGAAGTGTTCTGGGGGACTTGCTTTCCCTGGACCAGCTGGGTCGGGTTGATCAAGGCAAGCTTGCATCTTTCAGATGCCCACCTAGGTGCCCAGGGGCTTCAGATCTCCTGGTGGGCTGAGGACAAGACAAAGGTGGGAGTCTTTGAAGGGCAGACCCAGGGTGTTGTTAATACTACCCGTTTTTCCCAGCATGTTCCCATGGCGGGGGAAAATGGAAGGAGGGAATTTGATTTTGATGACCAGGGGAGCCACCATTCACCTCCACACAGCAGTCAGGATGCTTAAAAAAAAAAAAAAAAAATTTTTTTTTTTAATTGTGGTAAAAAAATATATATAACATAACATTTACCATTTAGGAGTACAACTCAGTGGCATGAAATACATTCACAATGTGATGCAACTATCGCCCCTATTTCCAGAGCTTTTTCATTATTCCAAACAGAAACTCTGTACCCATTAAACAATAATTCTCCCCTTGGGGCGCCTGGGTGGCTCAGTCGGTTGGGCGTCCGACTTCGGCTCAGGTCATGATCTCGCAGTTCACAAGTTCGAGCCCCGCATCTGGCTCTGTGCTGACAGCTCGGAGCCTAGAGCCTGCTTCGGATTCTGTGTCTCCCTCTCTCTCTGCCCCTCCCCGATTCATTCTCTTTCTCCCTCTCTCTCTGTCTCCCTCTCTCTCTCTCTCTCTCAAAAATAAATGTTAAAAAATTGCTTGAAACAATAATTCTCCCCTCTTTTCCCTCCCCTCCCAGCCCCTGGTCACCTCTAATGTACTTACTGTCTCTATGAATTTTCCTGTTCTCAATACCTCATTCAAGTGGAACCACACCCAATCTGTCCTTTTGTGTCTGACTGCTTTCACTCAGCATACTTTTTTTTTTAAGTTTTTATTTATTTAAGTAATCTCTACATCCAACATGGGGCTTGAACTCACCACCCTGAGATCAAGAGTCGCAGGCTCTTTCAACTGAGTCATCTTGGCGCCCTTCGGCATAGTGTTTTCAAAGAGCATCCCTGTGGAAGCATGTATCAGAGCTTCATCCCTTTTTATGGGTGAATAATGTTCCATTGTGTCCCTGTAGAGGCCATATCTGGCTTATCAATTCATCTGTTGGTGGGCACTTGGGTTGTTTCTGCCTTTCGGCTCCCCAGAGTGGGTACTGCTGGGTAAGAAGAACAACTCTGTTCTCGACTACAACACGCTACACTTCTGCTCATCAGATGTGAGGGGTTTTTCCAAAACCAAACAATTCTCAGATGCCGGCAGGATGTCCTACAATTTAACTCAATGCTGACACTCTTGACTCGCAGTTAACATCAGATCCCACAGGCTGAGGGCTCGGTCCTATAGGACGACCCCCAGTTCAGACACCTGCGCTTCTGATGGGCCAGCTATAAATCGGAGGTTTCCGTGACCCCCTCCTCGAGTTCGGGCATTTGCCAGAGTGGGTCACAGAACTCGGGAAAACAGTTTACTTATTAAATTTCTGGATTTATTACAAAGGATGCTTAAGGACATAAATGAACAGCCAGGTGAAGAGATACATATGGTGAGGTCCAGAAGGGTCCAGGCACAGGAGCTTCTGTCCCGGTGGAGTTTGGGGAAGGTTACCCACCCATGTGGATGCATTCTTGTCCACCAACTGGAAGGGCTGTGAATGCGTACTGTCGGGATTTTATCTATCTATCTATCTATCTATCTATCTATCTATTTATTTATAAATGTTTTTATTTATTTTTGGGAGGGAGAGAGACAGAGCATGAGTGGCGGAGGGGCAGAGAGAGAAGGAGACACAGAATCCGAAGCAAGGCTCCAGGCTCCGAGCTATCAGCACAGAGGCCGACGCGGGGCTCGAACTCACAAACCGCAAGATCATGACCTGAGCCGAAGTCGGATGCTTAACTGACTGAGCCACCTGGGCGCCCCATATTTTTAAGTTTATTCATTTACGGGGCGCCTGGGTGGCGCAGTCGGTTAAGCGTCCGACTTCAGCCAGGTCACGATCTCGCGGTCCGTGAGTTCGAGCCCCGCGTCGGGCTCTGGGCTGATGGCTCAGAGCCTGAAGCCTGTTTCCGATTCTGTGTCTCCCTCTCTCTCTGCCCCTCGCCTGTTCATGCTCTGTCTCTCTCTGTCCCAAAAATAAAAATAAACTTTGAAAAAAAAAATTTAAGTTTATTCATTTATTTTGAGAGAGAGCGAGTGTGTTGGGGGTGGGGGAGAGGCAGAGAGAAAGGGAGAGAGAGAATCAGAAGCATGCTGTGTGCACTGTCAGCGTGGAGCCAGATGTGGGGCTCAATCTCACAAACCGAGATCATGACCTGAGTTGAAATCAAGAGTCTGCCGCTCAACCAACTGAGCCACTCATGTGCCCCAGTGTTTAGGAAGGCTTTCACTAATAATTAATTCAGTCTCTAGCCCCCTCCCTTCCCTGGGAGTCGGATGTGGCCATCCTTAGGGGCTTTCCAAAAGCCATCTCATTAACTAAACTCCAGTGTTACCAGAAAGTTCCCAGGGTTTTAGGTGTTGGTACCAGGAATGCAGGTGAAGGCCGAAATATATATATTTGATTATATAACACTATCCCACCGGGTCATATGATGATTTTTTTTTAACTTTTTTTTCCCCTAAGTTTGTTTATTTATTTATTTATTTATTTATTTTTAAATGTTTATTTTTGAGAGAAAGCACGAGCAGGAGAGGGGCAGAGAGGGTGGGACGGAGGACCCCAAGTGGGCTCTGCGCCATCAGCACGGAGCCCGACGCGGGGCTCGAACCCACGAACCGTGAGATCGTGACCTGAGCCGAAGTCAGACGCTTAACCGACCGAGCCACCCAGGCGCCCCTCATGTGATGATTCTATGTTTAGCCTTCTGAGAACTTGTTTCCCCTCGTGGCTGCACCATTTTACATTCCTGCCAGCAATGCATGAAAGTTCTGGTTCTCACCACTTGTTATTTTCTGTTTTATTCTTTACAACTGCCGTCCTAGTGTTACCCATAACTGGGTCTGCCTCGTGGTGGGCATCGAAGCCAAAAGACACAACGAAGCCAAAGAGAGGAAGGGTATTACTTGCGACAAGTAAATGAGGACCCTGGGACCATCTCCCAAAACGGTGTCTCCTCAAACCACAGAACTGGGAAGTTTTAAGTCAGGGATGCATATAGATTCGTGAAGGGGCTTGTGCAGTGGGGTATTCCGCTGGGAAATAGGGCAGGTCGTCTTAAGGTGATCTGTCTGTCCAGGGTCGAAGGCACGAGGGCCAGCAAGGGTCGGCCTTGCCAATTCTGTGACCACGCTTGAGTTTTATTTATTTTTATTACTTACTTTTTTTAAATGTTTATTTATTTACTTTGAGAGTTCTGCGTCAGCGCGGAGCCTGATGCGGGGCTCGATCCCACAAACCGTGAGATCGTGACCCGAGCTGAAATCAAGAGTCGGACACTTAACTGACTTGAGCCCCTCAGGCGCCCCGAGCCAGAGTTTTGATCCTGTAAAGATAACTCGGGAATGTGTGTCAGGTCGATCTTGATGTTGAATCAGCCCTGGGAGTTTTGTCACTGATTTGTTGCCCCTGATATGATTAGGTTATCTCCTGGCCTGACAGTGGCTGTTTGTTCTTATTCTTTTGTTCCCTTTAAATCAGTTCAGGATACCCCAGGAAGCTCTGCAAAAAATGTGCTTTGGGTCGGGCGCCTGGGTGGCTGAGTCGGTGAAGCACCCGACTCGTGATTTCAGCTCCTGTCGTGATGGCACGATGCGTGGGGTCGAGCCCCAAGTCGGGTCCGTGCTTTGAGGGCAGAGCCTGTTTGGGATTCTCGCCTTCTCTCCCTCTTTCTCTCTCTCTGCCCCTGCCCTGCTCTCTCTCAAATAAATAAACATTTAAAAATAAATAAATAAATAAATAAATAAATAAATAAATAAATAAAAGTTAAATGAAAAAATTAAAACAAAACCAAAAATAAATTGAAATCTGTTACTCCCCTGACCAGATGGACTCTGGCTGTGTCCTCCAGGCCCTCCGGTGAAGTCTCGCCTCTGCTCACCTCTCCAGCCTCACGGCCCTCTCCCCTTCACCCAGCGCTCACCACCTTCGCAGAAGGCAGGCCTCTCACCTGCACTGCACCCCCCCCTCCCCCCGCCCAATCTCAGGGACCATTCTGTGCTTCCTCTTTCTGGGGGGATCTGTCTTCCTCATGCTCTTGGCCTGGCGGACCCCAGACTTGGTCCCTACACCCCGTTCACGTTCCTTCCTGGCTCTGGGCTGCATTTGCAGTTGGGAGTCCGCTGTTTCACCTGCTTCTTGTCCATCCCAGGCAGGAGGCTCTGGGTCTTGGCAAAGCACGTGGCTGATGCTTGTTTCATGGCCAGATGAGCCAACGAATTGTCTCTCCCATGGGCTCGCGGCCTTTTGGGAAGACACCGTGGTCACTTCTACCTCCCGCCCCTGACAGCCAACCCAGGAGGCCGTGTCTCACAAACGTACCAAAGTCACACCAGGGAACTCCCCAACCACTGCAGTCCCTTCCCTGTTTGCAGATTTTCTTCCAACCGTTCTCTTCCTTTGGATCCAGGGAACCAAGGTGCTGAGGCCCTGAGGACACCCTGAGGACACCCAAGGTCCCGGAGAGGAGAAACCCCTCAGGTAATGGGTGTGACAAGTGGGAGCTCACCCAGAGCACTGGGAACATCTCTCTTTCTCCATTTTATTTTATTTTATTTTATTTTATTTTATTTTATTTTATTATTTGAGAGAGAGAGAGAGAGAGTGCACAGTCAGAATCTTTTTATTTACTGATTTTTGGGGGGGGGGGAGGCAGAGAGAAGCAGAGAGAGGGAGAGAGAGAGAATCCCAAGCAGGCTCTGCACTGTCAGCGCAGAGACTGATGTGGGGCTCGAACTCACAAACTGTGAGATTATGACCTGAGCCAAAGTCGGACGCTTAACCCACTGAGCCACCCAGGTGCCCCAGAGAGAAAGAGAATCTGTGAACAGGTTCCGTTCTCAGTGTGGAGCCTGAGGCAGGGCTCAATCCCACAACCCTGGGATCATGACCTGAGTCCAAATCAAGAGTCAGAAGCTCAACCGACTGAGCCACCCAGGGGCCTCTCTCTCTTTAAAAAAAAACAAAAACATATATTTGGGGTGCCTGGATGGCTCAGGCGGTTGATTGTCTGACTTCGGCTCAGGTCATGATCTTGCGGTTTGCGAGTTCGAACCCTGCATCGGCCTCGCTGCTGTCGGCACAGAGCCCGCTTCGGGTTCTCCGTCCCCCTCTCCCTCCCCTCTCAAAAATGAATAAACATTCGAAAAGTAATAAAATAAAAAATATATATTTGTCGAGGTGCCCTAGGAGCATCTCTTGTTAGGAGGTGGGGCAGGAGTAAAAGAAAAAGAAAGTCCCAGAAGCAAAGGAGACAGAAGCAGACTGCAGCCACAGAGCTGGCCAACTACAGGACCACACAGGAGGGTAGAGCAGGGAGAGCTTGTGGGGAAGGACAAAGCATCAGAGACCAAAAAAACCAAGAGGCAACCTACTGAATGGGAGAATATATTTGCAAATCGTATATCTGATGAGGAGTTAATATCCAAAATATATAAAGAACTCTTACAACTCAGTAGGCAAAAAAAAAAAAAAAAAAAAAAATCCAATTAAAAAAGTGGGCACAGGATCTGAATAGACATTTTTCCAAAGAAGATATGCAGGTGGCCAACAGGTACGCGAAAAAGTGCTCAGCGTCGCTCACCATCAGGGAAATGCAAATCAAAACCACAGTAAGATCTCACCGCCTGCCTGTTAGGATGGCTTGTATCAAAAAGACCAAAGGCAGCCAGCGTTGGCGGGGGTGTGGAGAAAACGGACCCCTCGTGCACCGTCGGTGGGAATGCAAATTGGTGCAGCCACTGTGGAAAACAGTGTGGAAGTCCTTCAAAAAATTAAAAATAGATCTACCATATGATCCGGCAGTCCCACTTCTGGGTGTTTCTCTGAAGGAAATAAGAACACTGACTTGAAAAGATGCGGACAGCCCGTGTTCACTGCAGCATTATTCACAGTAGCCGAGACATGGAAGCAACCTAAGTGTCCATCGATGGGTGGGTGGGTGGGTGGGTGGATCAGTGGGTGAAGCGCGCGACTCTTGATCTCGGGGTTGTGAGTTGGAGTCCCACATTGGGCGTAGAGATTACTAAAAAGAAAGAAAGGAAGGAAGGAAGAGAGAAAGAGAATGTGGTGTGTATATACAATGAAATGTTAATCAGCAGTAAAAAAGGAGGAAATCCTGGCATTTGTGACAACATGGATGGACCTTGAGGGCATTGGGCTAAGTGAGATAAATCAGAGAGAGAAAAATACCATCTGATCTCATTTATATGCACAATCTAAAACAACAACAACAAAACTCCCCAAACTCTCAAGAACCAAAGTCCTAGGGGTGCCTGGGTGGCTCAGTCGGGTAAGCAACCGACGTTAGCTCAGGTCATGATCTCATAGTTTGTGGGTTCGAGCCCCGCGTCGGGCTCTGTGCTGACAGCTCAGAGCCTGGAGCCTGCCCCGGATTCTGTGTCTCCCTCTCTCTCTCTGCCCCACCACAGTTCACACGTCTCTGTCTCTCAAAAATAAACATTAAAAAAAAAAAAAACAAAAAACAAAAAACTAAAATCCTGGATACAGAGAACAGATAGGCGGTTGTCAGAGGTGGGCGGTGGGTGAAATGGGTGAAGTTCCACCAGTTATAAAGTAAACAAGTCCTGCGGGGGTTGGTGCCTGGGTGGCTCAGTCTGTTAAGTATCCAACTCCTGATTTTGGCTCAGGTCATGATCTCAGGATTCGTGAGATTGAGCCCTGTGTCGGGCCCCAGCCTGACACTGCGGGGCCTGCTTGGGATTCTCTCCCCCCGTCTCTCTCTGCCCCTCTCTCGTTCGCGTGCTCCCTCTCAAAATAAATAAGTACACTTAAAAAATAAATAAATAGTACAGCATGGTAGGGTGGGTTAAAGGGGAAAAAAAAGCAGGCTTGAAGAAGGATGGCCGATTTCCTGAGCAAGGAAGTCCTGTATCTCAGAGACTTCATAGCGTGACATCTTCAAGCCTGCAGAGAGCAAAAGAACATTCTTTTAGCTGGAGGATATTTAGGAGATATTAGGAGCTTCTGTTTTAGGCCAGGCCTTCAATATCTTTTTCAGGGGACAATGGCACGTGGCGTTGAGAGCACCTGCTGGGCTGGGCTGGCCTTGGGAGGACCCTTCTGTTGGATCGTAAAGCAGGGCGGCCCCTTGTCAAGCAAAGGAAAGGGGAAGGGCCAGCCAGGCAGAAGGCCTGGGCAGAGGTGTGGGGGTACAAGAGGCTCTAGAATGTTCTGAGAACAGTGAGGACATTGATTTGGCTGGAGCTCAAGGCACAGCGGGAGATACAGAAGGAGCTAGTGGCCGGGCCTCGGGTGCCAGGGTGAGGCCCGTGGATTTCCTCCTGGGGCAGCAGAGGCTGGAAGGGGTGAGCATTAGCAGGGGTGGCGCATGCTCAGAGCTGTGGCTCAGGTCAGCTCCTCGATGCTGCATTTTCTTTTTCAGAAGCCAATTTCTCAATATCCTCAAGCGGGGCTCTACACTGCAGTCGGGGATTGCGACACCTCCTCTAACAAGTTTTTAAGTGTGGGTGAGCGTGTGCCTGTGTGCGTGACCGTGTATGTGCGAGTGTGTGTGAGTGTGACTGTGTATGTGTGTGTATGAGTGTGTGCCTCTGGTCTCTCCAGCTGTGGCCTCCTGATGATGTTCCTTTCCTGTGGGCTGAGGGCAGTGTCTGGTCTGAGCAAGCCCGAACTAGCTGGTACCCATTTCTTCCTTTTCCAATGTACCTGTGTGTGCTTGTTTTTTTAATGTTTATTTAAAAAAAAAATTTTTTTTTAACATTTATTCATTTTTTAAGTGACAGAAGGAGAGCACAAGCAGGTGAGGGGGAGACACAGAATCCGAAGCAGGCTCCAGGCTCTGAGCTGTCAGCACAGAGCCCGATGTGGGGCTCGAACTCATGAAATGCAAGATCATGACCTGAGCTGAAGTCGGACGCTTAACCGAGGGAGCCACCCAGGCGCCTCTTTATTTGTTAATTTTTGAGAGAGAGATAGAGTGAGTGATCAGGGAGGAGCAGGGAGAGAGAGAGAGAGAGAGAGAGAGAGAGAGAGAGAGAGAATCTTAAGCAGACTCCACACTGCCAGTGCAGAGCCCGATGAGGGGCCTGAACCCACGAACGGTGAAACCATGACCTGAGCCAAAATCAAGAGTCAGCCGCTTAACTCACTGGGCCACCCAGGCACCCTGCCCTGTACTTGTGTTCTTTAAACAAGGGGCACCTGTTCTTTAAACAGGGGGCACCTGGCTGGTTCAGTCAGAGGAGCATGCGACCCTTGATCTTGGGGTCATGAGTTCGAGCCCCCCCCTCCGTCGGGTGTAGCAATTACTTAAATCAATAATAATAATAAACTTTCAAAAAAGGCGGGGTAACAGAAGAGAAGCTTCCCCGAGCCTGAAGTTGCCTGCTGCTTTTCCATCCATACTGGGAAGGGCAGTTGAGCGCAGGATCCCCCCTGAGGTGGTCTTGGTGGCTTGAATCTTAGCTTTTTGTTTCGTTTCAAACACTTGTTTTAAGTTTGTTTGTTTATTTGGGGGGGGGGGTGGGGGAGGGGTAGAGAGAGAGAATCCCAAGCAGGCTTTGCACTGATAATGTGACTCAGGGCTGGATACCCACAAACCGCGAGATCATGACCTGAGCCGAAATCAAGAGACGCTTAACGGACTGAGCCACCCAGGTGCCCCTAAACATTCTTTTCTAAAATCTGTTTATTTTGGAGGCACCTGGGTGGCTCAGTCCGTTAAGCGCCTGACTTAGGCTCAGGTCACGTCTCGTGGTTCGTGAGCTCGAGACCCACATCGGGCTCTGTGCTGCCAGCTCAGAGCCTGGAGCCTCCGCCTCAGATTCTGTGTCTTCTTCTCTCTCTGCCCCTCCACCACTCACGCTCTGTGTGTCTCTCTCTCAAAAATAAATAAACATTAAAAAAATTACTTATTTTTCTTGAATTAATCTCTACACCCAGTGTGGGGCTCGAACTCACAATCCCAAGATCAAGGGCCGCGTGCTCCTCTGCCTGAGCCACCCAGGTGCGCCTTGAATCTTTGCTTTGAATCCTGGCTTGGTGCTCAGTTTTTTCCGGTCGTGTCACCTGGGATCGAACCCTTGATCTTTCTGAATCTCAGGTTCTTCATCTGTGAAAGGAAGAAACGTTTACTTTGCAGGGCTGTGAGAATTAACGGTGCACGCAAAATCTTGCTTGACGTTAGGCTGTGACGTTGTAACATTTAGTGTATTTTTGATGTTTTGATGATTTTTGCAAAAGTTGCATCCAAGGCGGGGCACCTGAGTGGCTTAGTCATTTAATGGTCTGACTCAATATCAGCTCGGGTCATGATCTCACCGCCCTGGGATTGAGCCCCACTTCAGGCTCTGCTCCGAGTGTGGAGCCTGCTTAAGATTCTCTGTCTCCCTCTCTCTCTCTCTCCCTCTCCCTCCGCCCCTCCCCTGCTCACGTGTGTGTGCGCATGTTCTCCCTCTCTCTCCAAAAAGTAAAGAAACAAGCGTAAGCGAGGCAGAGTGCTTTTGGTTCCTCTTCCGGCACCTCGTGTTTCTCCTAAGTCCCATCACCTGCATCTCAGGTGAGCTGTTTCAGGGACATCAGTGTCGAAATCTCCGGGCCTCTGGAGTGCAAACACGTGGCCAGAAATCAAGAAAGCGAGCTTTCATGGCAGCACAGGCAGAGGCACCGGTCGTGGTTCCCCCATGATGGATTCCGGAGGTGGAGGTAAGGTGGGGGCAAGGTCACTGGAGTCACGTGGGAGACTTAGGGCGGAGGGATCATCCGTTCTCTGCTCCTCGGTGCAGATGGGTGTGATTGACTCGTGAATCCCTGAGGCCACAGCGAGCAGTACTCCCGTCCTGGGCTCTGGGCTAAGTACCAGGGTACACCATCCCCGCCATCATAAAGCTTAAGGCAGGGGTGGGGGCACCCAGGCGGCTCAGTCGGTTAAGCGTCCGACTTCAGCTCAGGTCATGATCTCACAGTTCGTGGGTTCAAGCCCCGCGTTGGGCTCTGTGCTGACAGCTCGGATCCCGGAACTTGCTTTGGATTCTGCCTTCCTCTCTCTCTGCCCCTCCCCCGCTCGCGTCTGTGTCTCTATCTCACAAATAAACATTAAAAAAAAAATAAATGAATTTTAAAAATCGTGGGGTGGGGGCAATCTGCTTTGGACTGGGTGTTCTGGAAAGGCCTTTTGAGGAGGGCACATTTCGGTGACGGGTAAACCCAGGAGGAGGTGCCACGCTGAGTTGGGAAGAAAGGGAGGGGGCCGCGTGAGGAAATGGAAGAAGGAGCCGCCCAACCCCACGTGAGGGAAAGGCGGGAAAGGCGGCACAGCGCAGACAGCCCTGAAAATGGCATCTGAGAAGCACGAGGCAACGGCGAAATCATGCAGAGAGTCTGAGGGTCACTGGGTCCTGGTTTTATTTATTTTGAGGGAGAGGGCAAGTGGGGGAGGGATAGAGAGGGAGGGAGACAGAGTCCCAGGCAGGCTCTGCGCCCTCAGCACAGAGCCTGATGCGGCGCTCGAACCAACGAACTGTGAGATCATGACCTGTTAAGTCTTGCCAATGGCAAGAGTCAGTCGCTTAACCGACCGAGCCACCCAGGTGCCCCCGTTGGGTCCTGTTTGGATCCACATCTCAGCTTCTTCCCACATCCCCACCTCGTACCCTCAGACATCACCCGGGACGTTGCCAACAGGAATGGTACATTCTGAGAGCCGCCGCCCTGCCCCTCCACTGACCTTGTGCCTCCGTTTCCACAGTGAAGAATATTTTTTCCCCAAAGAGCATTCCCCTTTCACTGAGCCACTCCATATGGCACCACAAAATTAAAATAAGTGAAGGGCTACTGTCCCTCTCCATCCTGGCTGGGCTAGGTGAGACACCTTGTGGTTCAGTAGACATCCCTTAATAAGCTTTTTATTTTTAAGTTATCTCTGTACCCAGAGTGGGGCTTGAACTCATGATTTTGAGATCAAGAGTCACGTGCTCTACCGACTGAGCCAGCCAGGTGCCCTGTAAAGCTCTGACTGCTTAAGAGAAGATCCTTTGCAGGATTCTAGCAAAGCCTCTGCCCCTGGAGCTCGGGATCACCCTCTTCTTAGCAGAAGGGAGGCACCTGGGCGGTGAGGGAGGAAGGCTGCAGGGGGAACAGGTGCTGGAGAGCCGCCCCTCCTTCCCCTCCCCTCCCGCCTCGCCCTAGCTTTGTCCCTGCGCTGATTATTGCTTTATTACTGTTTTCAGTCAGATATAATTCCGGCATTTTCTACAATCTTGATCTTTTCACTGATACCAGATTTTTGTACAAAGATTTGTATATAAAATGATTATGTACCCACCAGAATACATTCCCCAGCAATTAGAACGTTTAAGATGCAGCTCGTAACACTCCTTCTGCACATTCCTCATTTATTACTTCTGAAAATGTTTTGTGATTTTTTTTTTTTTGGTGGATGTGTTTACAAATCCAATAACAATCCTCATTTAGAGTTGCAAAACACGAAGCCATTTTGAACCCAGACAGATGGCAGCTAAATGAACTTTAATTAAAGAATGAGTGCTTTGAATCAAATCACTTTAAAAAGTACAGTACTCTGAGATTCTGGAGAGGTTGCATAAACAGCATCTGGGTTCTTCTGCAGGAAGCAGGCCTGCTTGTGGGAACTAGGAAGGCATCCCCAACGGATCCGGGCTGGGCCGGCACTGGGCACCGTGGGCAAAGCGAGGGGGCGGCCGGCCGGCCAAGCGGCCCAGAGCGCAGAGCTCCCGAGACAGGAGGTGAAACCGACGTAGGCCACCTCTTGGTGCAAAGGTTGCCCTGGGGGTGGGGGGTCCCCCCTTCTGCTTTCGTGCAGTGAGGTCGGGCCGAGGCGCGGGGTTTTGCTGCACAACCTGATTAGGTGCGCGCGCCTGCACAGCGGGAGTGGAAGCAGACAGATGGCGGAGGCCCCGCAGGCCGCAGTGCTGGGGTTCCCGGGCCCTCACCGGGCGCTCCACCCCCCCGCCGGGCAGGAGCCACTTCCGGCCGTGGCCGCGGGTCTGGGCGGGGGCGGCGGCTCGTCTCTAGGCGACCGAGAGGCGCCAGCTGGCCCGGGCGCGCTGCGGGGGCGCCCGGGGAGGCGGGTGTCCGGGCGGAAGCCGGTCGTGCTCGGTGGCCGCGGTGGAGAAGGAAGGGGACGGACGGTGGGGTGAGAGGCAGGGGAGGGGGTGGGAGGGGAAGAGCCCGAACCGCCCCGCCGGCCGAGAGGTTTGCGCTCGGTGCGGGTGGGGCGGGGGCGGGGCAGGAAAAGCACCGGCGGCGCCTAATCCGGGGAGACGGGATTAGATGGGGGAGGACGGCCCCCAGGAGCGGGGTCTGAAGGCAAGGTGGCAGCTGCAAGGTTATCCTCGATTTCATAGTTTCTGCCTCGAGGGCGGTGGTGAATGTGGGGGGGCGCCCCTGCCCTGATCCTGGAGATTTGAAAGAGGCAGGGGTCTGAGGGTGGACAGTGGAGCGCCCTGGTGGCTCCTAGGGACACTGCAAAGTGGTGGCGGCAGCCGCCAGAGGAACAGTGCGGGCACGGCCTGCCAACCTTGTGGCTTCTGGCTTCTTGCGTCTTTCCAGAAGGAAGCCGAGTCCGGAAGGCTGGGACGGGGCCTTCCCTCCCCATCTGGGCACCTCGCTGACCCCATGGGTTGGCAGAAGCTTCTGGCCTGTTTTGATCATGTAATTAGCTGACTCAGGACTCGGTTCCTCCAAGTCAAAGGCCTGGCTCTGGCCCTTGGCTAGACCCTGCGGTCACCCTGACCCTTTCGTGCCCCAGCACTTCTGTCCAATTGACTTCCAAGTCCTGTTGGCTGACCTCCTTGTTGTTCTCCACCTGGCTGGAACGTCGGCCAGCTCTTCTTGGAACAACTACAGGAGCCTCCGCATGGTCTCCCAGCTTCTACCCCCCCCCCCCCCCCCGTGGCTGCCCCCTCCCTCCAAGCCAAGCCGCCCGGGGCCTGGCCCCCAGGGCCTTCCACACTTCCACAAGGCCAGGGAGGAAAGGGATGCAGACTGGCCCTGGGGTGCACAGCTTTGCCTCATTCCCCCCTTCAGTCTGGCTCCGAGTGCAGGGCCCTGCCTGGGGAGTGTCCCCAGGAATCCCTGGTCTCACCTCCAGCCACACCTTGTTCCTGGAACACCCAAGGTCTCGCTTGGCACAGCCCCCCTGCCCTTGGCACAAGGGGCTCTCCCAGAACGCCGTCCTGCCCCACGTGTCCCGCTCTGCCTTGCCAACCCCAGCCTCGCTCTCTAAGTCTCAGCATCACGGATGGTTCTTGATTCGGAGCCAGGGGAGGCCACCCTGCCTCCCCCATTAGCTGCCCAGGGCCAGGCCCTCTCAACCCCCCACCCCTTCTGCCTCCAGTCTCACCCCTTCCTTCACCTTCCCACCTGCCACCAAAGTGGCCTTTCCGAGACACAGCTGTGACCCATCCCTCTGCTGCTCAAATGCCCTGAGCTCCATCAAAAAGCCACCCCACCCCTCCAGGTCCAACCCAGAGCACCTCTGCCAAGGTGCCTTCTCTGCAGCCACGGAGATTCCACACTTGATCACAGTTCACACTTTGGACTTCACCTCTTCCTGGAGCTCAGGCCGTCCCCTACCACCTTGTGGCCCCGAGGCCAGGGGCTCAGTCTGGCACTTGGCCTCCCGGGACACGTCATCTGGAGGTCACGCAGAGAAATGAGTGAAGTCAGTCCCCAGACACCACGGCCCAGCGGTCAGGGACACCGCCTTTGCTTTGGCAAAGGAAGGGGGGACCTTGGCAGGCTGTCTGAGCCAGGTTTCCTGACCTTGCCTCAGTGACAGCTGTTAATTCCAAATGAGACTACGCAGAAGTTATGAGCAAGGGCAATACTTTTTTTTTTTTTTTTTTTTTTTACTTATTTAAAAAGGCCTTGGTGGCAGGAATATAGTGTAAAAATCATTGGAAAAACTAAAAGGCATCGATACATATCCGAATATACACTTTGTACATAAATTACATTTCCTTTAGTCTTTCTGAGTGAGGTCCTGATTCAGCACTGAGGTCTAATAATTCAGAGGTCCCGGGAGCTGCACGTTCAGGCCGGCATAGTCCACCATGTACATTGGCCATTGCTAGAGAGAGGGGGACAAATGGCCCGAGTTAGGACTCCGGGTGACCCAGAAAGAACACCAGACCACTTAGCTCTGCTTTCTGAAGGGATTCCCCACTGGATTCATTTGGAGGCAGCCTGACGGTCCAGACGGGACCCGAGACCCGTCCAAGGTCATGCATTTTGCCAGTGGCCCTGGAGCCTGGGCTGGGGCCTTCTGACTCGCTCCCACCTGTGTGCCAGGGGCTATTCCGTGGACCAGGGGGAACCGAGGATTCGCTCAGAGAAGGTGAGCACCCCCACAAACTCCGCCCCCTCCCCGGCCTTATGCCAAAGAGCCAGTCCCATCTCTTGGAGGTGGGAAAAGCCAGTGACCCTAGGTGGGGACAAAGGTACAGCCTACAGCCTGAACTTTGGGGTTTGCCATGTTTAAAGGGAGGCACGATTATAGGCGCCTGGGTGGCTCAGTCGGTTAAGCGTCTGACTCTTGGTTCCGGCTCAGGTCGTGATCTCACAGTTTTGTGGGTTCCAGGCCCGTGTCAGGCTCTGTGCTCTTTGGTGCGGAACCTGCTTGGGATTCTCTCCCTCCCTCCCTCCCCCGTCTGCCCCTCCCCCTCTTTGCACTCTCAAAATAAAAATTAAACTTAAAAAGAAAGGCGGGGGGAGGGGGGGAAGCAGGGTCAAAGGACAAAGACATCTCCAAGTCATCATCAAATGTGTTCCAGTATTGTCCCCACTGGGCTCAGGACTTCCGAGCTAGTGTTTTGAAGTCAGAAAGAACTCTCTCGAGTGTGTGTGTGTGTCCCTAATGAGGCTTGGCCGCAGTAAGGCCACAGTCAACCAGCCTCTGCCCCTTGTTTTCCTCCTCCACACACTGTGGGTAACGCCTACAACCTCACGGGGCTGTGGTGAGGCCCAGAGCATGCGAGGTGAGCAGAGATTAACCTGGCGACTGCACGGGGGTCCCCGTCCTGGCACCGCCCAGGGGAGTCCCCCATCCCCTCTCCCGGGGCGGAGGCGGGGGGGGGGGGGGCTCGGCTTGCCCCCCTGCCCAGCGGGGGGTGTGACTTCCCACCCAGGGCAGGGACGCAGGAGCAGCCAGTGACAGGGTTGGACTATCTGGTGGGTCGATCGGGCAGACGCGACTGCCACCCCGAGGCTGCGGAGCCCCGCTCAGACCCAGTGCTTCCCTGCGCCCCAAACCCACGTCCCAGAGGAGCCGGCCCTGCCCGAAAGCGGGGCGAGGGCCAAAGAGCAGAGCGGTCAGGCCCGGATCTGTGCAACTTTACCACGAGTGAGAGCTGGTTGGTAGACGCCACGGACTCTGGGTTAGAGGACGAGGAGGAGGAAGACGAGGAGGAGGAGGAGAAGGAGTTCCCTTCGGAGACCCGCTTTCTCTTGCGCTTGGGAATGCTGCTGTCTTTGGCTGGTGGGAAAAAAGGTTGCTGACACCAGACGCCAGGGCTGCTCTGACTCGGCTTCGGGCCCCTCTGGGGGAGGCCTCTGCTTTCGTGCTTCAAGTCCCCTTCTCAGCGTTCAGGGCTCCAGAGCCCCCAGACACCCCCCGCCCCCGGCCCCAAGGCCCATCCCTCCAGCCCCCTTCCTTAACCAGGCCGCACAGCCCAGTGGCTCTCCGGCCTGCCTCGTCCCCCGGGGGGACGAGTTCAGGCCCCAGCCCTCTTTCTGCTCCCAGACCGTCCAGCCCGTGGGGCCTGGCCTCCCCACAACTCCTGGGGTGAGGGGCTCGGCCTCGGGCCTTGGGGGAAGTCGCTCCATGGCCTTGTGCTTCCATTTCCCTGTGAGTGAAACGTAAGATCCTATACAGTAGCTGGGAGGCTCCCATGGACAGTATGCCCAGGCCCCCAGAACGACTTAGCGACTGAGAACACATATCGACGTTGGTATTGTTAGCTGTGGATGTGGGATGACCCTGACCTGGTAACGCTGTGACAGAGGACGGTCCACAAGTACCGTGAGTGGACGGGCAGCGCCCCCGTGGGAAGAGACTCTGGTTTACAGTCAGAGGTCGTAAATTCAAATTCCGTTACTGCCATTCCTAGCTGTGTGACGCCGGGCAAACTGATTCACCTCTCTGAGCCAAATGGGGAAAACAACGGGACGTGAGCCTCAAAGGAGATCGTGTGTCGGCAAGAGCCTGGTACCCCGCCTGACACGAAGCACGACTCGGCCGGTGTTCTGTCGCTACCGAATTAAACTGGTATGAATATATGAGACTTCGAGAAAGGATGTGCCCCCGTGTGCTACACAAGCAGGGCTTGGTGCTTGACTGAGTGGCCAGGTCACTGAGTAGAAACCAGAAGTGTCATAATAACACAGCATGAGGGTGGGCTGGGCCCACGAGGTGACTGTCCGGCTGGTGAAGAAATACCAGAGGCTGGGGGGGTCTGTGACATGGCATAAATAGACACCCCGGGAAACAGAAGACTCTGGGGGCAGAAGGAGCCCTGGGAATGGGTCGGAGCAAAGCGATTTTGTAGAAGGCTCCGCCCGAAAATGAAGTCAGAGGTGCTGGCCCAGGGTGGTGGCCAACCCAGCGTCACGGTAGGACCATAAAGACAGCCAAGGTCAGGGGAGGGCAGACGCAGGTCATAGCTTCTACCCTCTGAGCACGTGTCCCAGACTCTCCTCCCGAGGCCTCTGAAGGGCCATCTGCATTCTGCCTTCAACCTAGGGACAGCTCCCAAACTCACGGCCTCCCTGCCTGCGAATCTAGTGCCGCACCTGGCCCGTGACTGGCGCAGGATGGGGGGCGGGGGCTTCTGGTCGGGCCGTGCCACCCTAGGCCGTGGAGTTCCTGGGGGACCTGGACCCACCCGGAGTGGGGGCCTCGGGTCTCAGGCCAGCATGGGGGCCCGTCACTGTCCCCAGTGAGCCCTGGCTGGGGCCTGCGGGTCAGATGGATGGTCCTGACACCAGGCTCGAGGTGGCCACCCACTCCCCAGGTGGCCCTGCCGAGCCCCTTTCCCTCTCTGGGCCTCAGTCTCCCAGCTGCACAACGCGGTTGGGACGAGATGAGTGCTCTGAATCAGCGGCACGTCTCCCAGTCACCCGGGGAAACCATCCCACCAGACAGTCTCCCAGCTTCCTGTGAACCCCAGGCTTCTGGGAGACAGGCCCGGGGCTGGCGTGGGCCTGCCTCCCCCTGCTGGCCACACACATCGGCCCTCTCCTCCCAGGTGGCTTCCGTGATCCCATGTGACATCCTCTCGCCCTCGTCGCCTCCAGCGGATCTGACCCGCTCAGCCGCCGCTGTGGCAGGGCCCCCTCCGGAGGGCACCTGCAGGCTCCCGGGGCCTTCTGGGGATACCGGCCCTGCAGGGGGAAGGCTCAGGCTCCCCGTGGTCATACTGGGCGGGGGCGCGACACTCTGTAGGTGGTCAGCTACCTACTGCCTGCCACCTGGACCAGATCTGCCCGCAGACTCTGGTCCCCGAGAGGCGGAGAGGGGGCCTCCTCGGCCTCCGCCTTACCTGGCACCTTGGCGTCATTGCAGATTTCTGCAAACGGTCTGAAAGACGAGAGACAGGAGGTGGCGGTTAGAAAATGCGGTTTCCGCTCTTCTTTCTCAGCTGCTCCCCGCAGGTGGGCGACCCCTCTCGTGAGACGCTGCCACCGCCGCTGGAGGGCCAGTCAGGTAAGACCCGGCTGAAAATGGCGAGCACCCGCCAGAGCAGGCAGACGATCGCCCCTGTGCGCCTGGTGTCCTCGTCCAGAATTCGAGGGTGACGCTCGAGCGAGGGATCGGGACCGTGTGCCTAGATTTCTCTAAGTGAATGTTCATCACGGTGTCTTTTTTTTATCTCTTGATTTTTACTGTATTGATTATCTTACTTTGAGCATTATTATTTTGTTTTCATTTTTTAAGAATTAAAACAAAATTTTTTTAAATATTTACTTATTTTGAGAGAGAGAGATTGAGAGAGAGAATGAGCATGCGAGGGGCCGAGAGAGAGGAAGAAAGAGAAAGACTCCCAAGCGGGCTCTGTGCTGCCAGCAGAGAGATCTCATGAACTGTGAGATCGGGACCTGGGTCGGAGTCAGACACTTAACTGACTGAGCCACCCAGGCACAATAAAAAAACCCAATTGTTTTGATTTTTAAAGTAATCTCTACCCCCAACATGGGGCTCAAACTCATGACCCCAAGATCAAGAGTCACATGCTCCACTGACTGAGCCAGCCAGGCACCCCTAGAAATATTCTAGTCAATGAGTGTATTTTAAAAAAGAGACTATAAGGGGACACCTGGGTGGCTCAGTCAGTTAAGTGTCCGACTTCGGCTCAGGTCATGGTCTCGCGGTTCATGGGTTCGAGCCCCGCGTCCGGCTCTGTGCTGATACCTGGGAGCCTGCAGCCTGCTTCGGATTCTGTGTCTCCCTCTCTCTCTGTCCCTCCCCTGCTTGTGCTCTGTCTCTCTCTCTCTCTCTCCCTCAAAAGTAAATTATAAATTTTAAAAACACTTAAAAATCAAAATAAAAAGAGATGATAAGGACATATGGTAAAACGTGCACAGTAGTTATCTCTGCATGATGGGAGTACTAACTAACCATTATTTTCTAAATAACTGAAATGGGGAAACATTAATGGTATAGTCAGAAAAAGTCAAATTTCATTAAATTTTTAAAAATAAACCGACACCCATGAATGGTGAGGCTGTGTGTTTGGAAAGGGATGGAATTAGGACACACGGAGCTACAGATTGGAAGTCTGTGTCCGCCCTCTCCCCCCACCCCCACTAAATTGTTTTTTTTTTGTAAACATAAAAATTTTTTTTATGTTTATTTATTTTTGAAAGCGAGAGACACAGAGTGCAAGCAGGGGAGGGGCAGAGAGAGAGGGAGACACCGAATCTGAAGCAGGCTCCAGGCTCTGAGCTGCCAGCACAGAGCCCAACGCGGGGCTCGAACTCCCAAACCGCGAGATCATGACCTGAGCTGAAGTCGGATGCCCAACTGACTCAGCCACCCAGGCGCCCCCCTCCTGAACTAAATTCTTATGTGGGGACCTAGTCCCCAGTGTGATGGCATTAGGAGTCAGGGCCTTTGGGAGCACTTAGGTCATGAAGGAGGAGCCCTCAGGAATGGGATCAGTGCCTTATAAAACAGGCCCCAGAGAGCTCCCTTCTCCCCTTCCAGCATGTGAGGACGCGTATGAGGACACAGTGAGGAGATGGTTATCTAGAAACTAGGAAGTGGGTCCTCCCCAGACCCTGAATCTGCCACCACCTTGATCCTGGACTTCCCAGCCTCCGGAACTGTAAGAAGTAAATGTCTGTTGTTTATAAGCTCCCTGGTCTGTAGTCTTGTGTTACAGCGGCCTTGACTGGAGTAAGATATCTGAGTTTGCAGCCCAGCTGACCCACTGTGACTTATACCGGCCCTTTCCTGGCTCTGGGTATCAGTTTCCTCATCTTTAACATGAGAGCGTTGGGGTGCCTGGGGGGGGGGGGGGGGGGGGAGGGGCGCTCCGTGGGTTAAGCATCCGACTCTTGGTTTCAGCCCAGGTCATGATTCCACGGTTTGTGAGATCGAGTCCCACATCGGGCTCTGTGCTGACAGCATGCACGGAGCCAGCTTGGGATTCTCTCTCTGCCACTTCCCTACTCTCTCTCTCTCTCTCTCTCTCTCAAAATAAATAAATAAACTTAAAAAAAAAAAAAGATGAGAGTGTTAAGCTAGCCTGTCTCCTGGATTCTGTGCAAGTGAGAAGCACCTGTCTGTCTGTCTGTTTGTGTCTGTCTCTTGTCTCCTGGCTGGGCCTGCTTTGGGAATTTCCCCACCGGATCCAAGCAGTACCCTCTCCCGTGGCCCTTGTTCACTGTGCCCACCCTGCCCCGGGCGCTGGGGGCACTCACTGGAGCTGGTTGATGATAACCATGCGGACGTGCTCTCGGGCCTTCAGGATCTTCTCCAGCCGGTGGATGTCGTATGTGTTGGGGTTCCGGAAAGGGATGTCGTCGGGCAGGCCCGTGACCTCGACGGCATCCGGGCTGTCCCGGATCAGTTTGTAAGGGACCAGCACAGGCCGGTTCAGGCCCAGAGCCTCACCTAGAAGACACGGCGGGTCAGCGCAAGGGCCCCTGTTAGGGGCCAAGCCCTCTGGGGAAAGCGCTGGATGCTGGCATGGCCCAGCTCAGTCAGCCACTGTCCTAGGGAGTTTATAAATCTATACACACGCTTTTTTTTTTTTTAAATCCACTTAGCAAAACTAAAAGTTTAATACCCAGTGGTGACAATAAAATGTACTTTCGGGGCACCTGGATGGCTCAATTGGTTGAGCGGCCGACTCTTGATTTCGGCCCAGGTCATGATCTCATGGTTCGTGAGTTCGAGCCCGGCGTTGGGCTCTGCGCTGACAGCTCGGAGCCTGCTTGGGATCCTCTCTCTTTCCCTCTCCCTGCCCCTCCCCGGCTCATGCTCTCGCTCTCTCTTGCAAAATAAATAAATAGAAAAGAACCCTACTATTATGTTAGAAGAAATACAAAGCCCTCGCTTAAATATTTATGGATATGACATGGTGTCTTGAGTTTGTTTTTAAGTACTTCAAATACAGAAGTGTGTACAGAAGAAGATTGGTAAAATGTTGGCAATCGTAGAAGCTGCCTTTGGGTGACGTGGTGGGTCACTCCCCCACCCCCATACGTGTTTGGATTCTGATTGCAAAATAACAAGTGAATAGAGATCCACCAGCCGAGTTGCTTCTCATCGTTCTGGAAATGAAGCCCCTGTGCCTTCTTAGGCCTGCCCACCGTCCCCCCAGCTGCTCACCCGGTCACCCAGCTGTCCCCTCCACCTGGCAAGCTTTTCCTGGAATATGCGTCCCCTCCTGACATTCGAGTCTTGGGGGGGGAGGGCTTCCCTGCCTGCCCCCCACCGCGTCCTGCCACTGCAGTTTTATGTTTTCCTTCATCACTCTCTGAAATTCTACTTAAAAACATTGTTTTGATTCCTGTCTCCCTGTGCAAAGTGAAGATAATACTAAATTCGTCACAAAGACAACGTCACGCATAGCGTGGCACTTAGCGATCGAGAGAGGCTCACTTATAATCGTAGAGTTATTATTACTAAAACTCTATTTGACTTGATTTTTAAGATTTTTATTTCTAAGTACTCCCTACACCCAACGTGGGGCTTGAACCTACAACCCCAAGATCAAGAGTCGCAGGCGGCACCGGCTGAGCCAGCCAGGCCACAGGTGACCGTATTGTTAATTGTCCCTTCTTGGGCTCCGCCCTGGCACCCCGGATGCCGTCAGCACAGGGCCTAGCATCTCGTGGCCTTTACCTATTCCGCGTCCACCTCCCTGCACAGATTCTGAGCCCCAGGCTGTCAGGGATGGGACCTCCTTCCCTGGAGTCCTCACGGCTAAATGTGTGCTGGGCAGATGCACGAACCGCGTCTCTGCCGCACAGCCCGGCCCTAAAGGGGCGGAAATGCTGACCGCGGTCACGGCCCTGTTCTTTCCCCTTCCTCAGTCGGGGGAGTGGAGGGGTCGGCTCCCGGGCAGTCGTGGGCAGGGCGGCTCTGTCCCCAGGGAGCAGGCAGGCCAGCTGGGTGTCACTGGGGGCCAGGCTGGCCGTAGAGGGAGGAGGGGCTGCCAGGGAAGGCGGGCCCCACAGACCCTGCCCCGCGGGCCCCGCTCCTGACGCACTGACCGTATTTCTCATTGAAGAGCTCCTTCACCTGCTCGCGGAGGATCACCTTCTCCCCTAGTCTGTTGGCGTCATCTTCATCTACAAGAGGAAGACGTTGGGGTGTGAAGGTCGGCAAGGGCGCGCCCCTGAACGGGCTCCTGGGAGACACCCGCACCCTCCCCTGCCGCCGGGCTGCCCTGCCAGGCCCCGCCCACCCAGTGTGCCAGGCCCCGCCCACCGAGTTTAGTATAAGGCAGCCCGTTCCTGGCCTCGTTGTCACCTGCTGTTGGACCCTCGGCTCCCCTCGACCCTGTCCTTGGTCCAAAGGAGCAGCGGGTCAGATGAGCCCCAAGACAGGGACTGGGCTGCGCAGGGGGACGTGGGGGAGGGTGTGGATGGGCCCGAAGGGTCCTGCGGGCTTGTGTCCTGGGGTTGGGGAGGGGGCTGGAGTTTCCAGGCAGGGTGCTCTGAGCTGGCTGGGCTCCCAGGGGCGGGAGTGCAGTGGAAGCAGGCAGGGAGCCAGGGCCTGGGAGACGTGGGGCAGAGCGGACAGAATGGATTTGTGGAGAAAAACAACTCCTGTTTTCATCTGGAAAATTTCACAGTTGCACGTAGGAGGCCAACTCAGGACCGGCGCCTGGTGTGCGCCTGGCTCCGCCCTCCCCGCCCCGGGGTGGGGGCCGCCCGCACTGCCTGGCACTGCTCGATGCCCCTTCTTCCTGGGACTCTTTCACCTGCCGCCTGGGGCCTCCCGAGTGCCGGCTGTGCCTCGTGTGGTCCCGGTCATGCCCACGCTCCTGACTCTGGATCTGCCGTGTCTCGGAGTTCTGCACAAGCCTCTCCAACCATGACCATCTCCAACCAAGCCATCCGGGTGCCCCGGACACGCGGCAAACGTCAGGCTTCCCAGATAACATCCTCCTCCTGTGTCCCCCTCTTGGAGAGTGATGGCCCCATCCGTCGCACCAAGACACCGAACTCAGCCCCCCTCGGAGCCTCCTTCTCCCCACATCCCCCAACATGGCTCTTCCAGACGGTCTTCAGGACCCCACGTTGGCAAGAATCAACCCGATCCTTCTCCAGGTCCCGAGCGGACAACCTGGTGACCCAAGGGCCACCCAGAGCCTGCGGGGAGGCTGCAGACGCTTCCCATCTCTGCAGAGGGACTGCTCTGGTGGCCAGGGCTTTCTGCACAGGACAGGGAAGGACGGCCTGGGTTCCCATCAATGGGTGTCACATGCTCTGCCGGCAGCTTTCCCGGACACGATCACAGCCACCCCTCACCACCGCTAAGGACGCAGAGGCTCAGAGAGGTTAAGTAACCTCCCAAGACCACAGAGCCGCTAAGAGCCAGGAATAGTGTCTGTCTGACCAAGAGCCCTGGGTTCCCTGAAATCTGTTTCCCCGTCTGTAGAAAGAAGGGTTGACCGTGAGGGTGGTGTTGCCTCTGAGTCTCCTGTCCTATCAGCTCACAGTCTCATCCGGATCCCAGGGCAGGGCAGACACAGCCGCAATTGACAAAGCTGGCTGGATGGAAAGGGAGACGAGCCCAGTAAACTGAGGTCACTGTGGCTGTGGCCGTCTCTGGTGCATACAGGTGTCTCGCCCACCCTGCCTTGGCCTCAAGGCTCCGGCGGCTACGCGGGCGGAGAGAGACACGCACAGGACAGGCCTGAGCCTCACACCGCCCTCACCCCGGCAGAGGCCACGCCAGCCCCCGGAAGGGCATAGAACCTGAAGCCACAAAGCTGGACTCGTGCCAGCCCTGCCACGTGGGGGGTCATGTGACGTCCCCCCCTCTCGGCGTTTCTGCTCAGTCTCGACACCGTATTTGTCTTGGACAAGTATTTCACAAGCACCACCCCCCACTGGATGTGGTGCCATCCCTGGGCATTTAGCAGACCACAGAAAACAGCCCTGGTCCGAGGCGGGGACGGTAAAGGATGCTTGGTGACCCGCTGGCCTTGACAACTGTCAGTGCAGGGCTTGTGGGAGCACACGGGGGAATCCTAACCCAGCTGAGAATCAGGGTGGGCTTCCCAGAGGAGGTGACCGCCGCACCTCCCAAGGCCCCCTGCGATGCAGCCTCACGTGGGCGGTGTGTGACACCCCCAGGCTTCCCATGAGTGCTCAACGCACATGAGTGTGTGAACCCTGCCTGGTCTGGGCAGGGAGAGCACGGGGAAACCAGGCTGTAGGTAACAGGGAGGAGTGACCCCAGGGGTCAGCCAAGAGGCAGCACACTCGGGTCCCAGGCGGAAGCCGGAAATGGTGGGACCAGTGACATGACAGAAAAGCGAGACCTGGGCCATCTGAGGGGCGCTGGTGGCACCGGGAAGTGTCCCGGACACCTCTGGAGCGTGGCGGGGACACCAGCTCCTGCCGTGTAACCAGCACATCCCACGTGGACAGACTGCCAGGCCCGATTCTCAGCTCGGCGCCAGGCCTCAGAAAGGATGCCTCTTGGCTTCTCCCACCTCTTTGTTTTTATTATTTTAATTGCAACTTGTCATTAATATATTATTAATTACAATTTATATTAACTTATTACTTTAAATGGTTTATTTTCTGTTGGGGGGGCGGAGAGAGGGAGACAGAGGATGTGAAGCCAACCCTGCACTGACAGCACAGAGCCCCACACGGGGCTTGAACCCTCAAACTGAGAGATCAGGACCTGAGCTGAAGCCTGGCACTTAACCAACTGAGCCACCCAGGTGCCCCTGTTTTTTCTTTAATTAAATTTTTTTTTTTTTTTTTTGCGGGGGGGTTGTCTGCATGGCTCAGTCGGTTGAGCATCTGACTCTTGATCTCGGCTCAGGTCTTGATCTCAGGGTCGTGAGTTCAAGCCCCACCCTGGGCACGGAGCCTACGACAAAAAAAATAATTTTTTGTTTTCATTTAATTTGGAGGAAGGGAGTTCCATTTTTCTTAAAGGATACATATCTGAATGAAACAGGCGAGGGTGGGTTCTGGTGGGGCCTGGAGGGGAGAGGTCCCTGCCCCTCTGGGTGCTCAGAAAAAACAGGAGGTGGGACCGCCCAGGCCAACCACAGGGGGAGAGCCGGCCTGCATGGCCCAGCCAAGCGTCTCTCTGGGTAGGCTGCGGGCAGGTCATGAGACGGCGTCCCGACAGAGCCAGGCTTCTGCCACCACCACCCTACATTCACCAACCGGAGAGGGCGAGGCCAGGCCTGCTGGTCACCAGGGACTGCCCCAAGCACTGCCGTGGGGACAGCTGCCCCAGTTAGCCTTGGCTGGGGCACCACAGGCCCCAGGGGAGCTGTCACTCCCAGTCTGGTCTGCTTGTGGGCAAAACAAAGACCAGGAAACTGCCTCAGAGAACACAGGGTGGGGCGGAGAATACAACCACTGGGGGCTCTGTGGGGACCCGGCCATAAACCCAGTGGTCTTTTTTTTTTTTTTTTTTTTTTAACGTTTATTTATTTTTGCAACAAAGAGAGACAGAGCATGAATGGGGGAGGGTCAGAGAGAGAGGGAGACACAGAATCTGAAGCAGGCTCCAGGCTCTGAGCTGTCAGCACAGAGCATGACGCGGGGCTCGAACTCACGGACCGCGAGATATGACCTGAGCCAAAGTCGGATGCTTAACCGACTGAGCCACCCAGGTGCCCCTAAACCCAGTGGTCTTCTGGAGCCTGAAGGGCAGCCCTGAGGCCAGGAGTTCGTGGTTGACTCTGACACCTGACTGCTTGGGTTCAAATCCTGCCTTTGGTATCAGCTCATGACCTTGAACACTTCTCCGAACCGCTGGACTTTGGGTTGCTACCACAACAGGGGAAACCGAGTGCAACTGCCCTGAGGACCAAGTGGGGCATTATGCCCGTGCCCGGCATGGCCCACGGGCTAGTTTTACTGCCCTGAAGCCTGAGTCAGCAGAGCTATTCTGGGGGGACCTGCCCGAGCTCCCCTGAACCCAGGCTGGCTATAAAAGACACCAATGGTTGCTAATACTGTAGAATGTTCTCCATGTGGAGAGGTCACAGGTAGGGCTCAACGTGGCGTGTGTGCCCTCAACGCACCTGGGTGGCTCCATCTGTTAAGCGTCACGGTTCGTGAGTTCTGGCCCCGCATCGGGCTCTGCGCTGACAGTGCGGAGCCTGCTTGGGATTCTCTGTCTCCCTCTCTCTCTGCCCCCCAAATAAATAAACAGACGTTAAAAAAAATATATACCTGCTTGAATGTCTGTATGAAGTGGGGAGAAAGGGGGCCCCCAGGGCCAGTGATGGAGGTGGTTTTTGCGGGGGGGGGGGGGTCCCTGGCTCAGCAGGCTGTGAAGCAATCTTGATTCTACCCCTAATGTGATGTGGTGTTTGGAAAGTCATTCAACCTCTCTGGGCCTGTTTCCACATCCCTCAGCTGGGAATCCGGGCAGGCCCGGAGGATCCAGTGATATCACATATAAAAACGTTTAAGGCCTCACGTTATCAGAGACAGGTTGTGGCTGATGTTATCAGTAGATCAATGTTTCAATTATCCTGCAGTCTCAGGGAATTAAACTTTACATGAGAGATTCTTCCAGATGATGGATGCTTATTCTCTCAAGTCCCCTGGCTTGGTTGTACCTCTCGGGGACAAGCCATTTTCTAAAATGCATCAAGTACACAGGGCGGGGGCGGGGGCGGAGCGGGGAGGAGGAGGGGTCACCCTGGGGATCCGTTGCACCTGCCCAGCAGCGGTCACCCGTGCCCCCCACCCCGTCCCCTGGGCGGTGACATCCCTTGCGGACAGGCCGGCCCTGTGGGCATTTCTGCCCCCTCTTCCTGCTCATTCCAGCTTACTGGTCTCTCTCTCCCTCCTGTCTGCCCCAGGAGCTGTCATCTGGTCCTGTCTAATCTGCCGTCTGTTAGCCTGAGGATTAACTGAATTTTGCCTGAGGGAAGAAAGCAACCAAGCTTATTAAATCACAGCCACGCTACGTACACAATTCCAAAGCAGTCGGCTTGGCCCGGGGGCAAAGTACGAGAACCCTCAACAGCTGTGTCCTCTCTCCACTAGTTTGAGGTCTGCAGCCAGACTGGTGACTGTGAACTGACAGTCGTGATCCCAAGGGGGCAAAGGCGACGGGTCGGCAGCAAGGG